TTTATTCATCCCAGACGACAATTGCCACTCTGATTTGCGATGCTGTAGCTGCAGAATAGTTGCATGGTTTACGCGCCAACGAAAACCGCTGCTTGCATATGTCACAGAAGTCTTTTCGCACCACTAAGTGCCAGTTATGTTGGTGATAGCTGCTCCACACAAGGATGATTTTGACTTCAAAGTGAGGATGGCTACATTTCTCTTTTGTGCGAGGGATTTCATATCTTCTAAGCACTACCACGCAGTCAGACCTTTTTGCCCAGTTCCTCACATTTTGCCCATCTGATGACAAGGGCAGCTGGGGAACAGGCCTGGTATTTCTCATGGAGCCAAAGAAGTCTCGAGAATCTCAATCACGCATCTGGGCTGAAATGAACAACCGGGAGAATAGGGAGCAGTCATTCTTGAGCAACGCCAGCTGAAGCTGGGTTCTTGATTTCTCTCTGACTGGAGGTCGGCTGAAGAGAGGAAGGTGATGGGCTTCGTCTGGTTCACAAGCCGCTCATTGACATACGTGTGGTACTGCTCTTGCCCCAGCTTCTCGATCTGGTGCACAGTGTCGATGACTGCTGGGTCTGCCAGGTTCCTGCTGTCTAGTACCAGGAGATCATTGCTGTCATCACAGAAGGGGTTCCCCATTTCTCTCATGACACCGGAGAGTGACTTAACATCTCGAGCAAACGCCAGCTGTGTATGCTTTGTCTGCTCATGGTGCCTGGAATCAGGCTTCTTTGTTCTCGTCTCTGCTGTGGCGCGGAACTCTGCAATCACTCTTGCCATCTCAGGACCGGACACCATCCAGCGCTGCAATGCTGCAGGATTCTTAGTCAGGCCGACTGCTCCGCCATTGCCTTTCACTGATGCGTTATTCTGCTCATGTGCCTGGTCGATGGCCAAAGCAGAGAATGCGTGTGTTGTCTTCTTCACTGTGAAGTTCCCAGCCATGAACTCTGCGAACACATCTGGATGCTTGTCTTCCAGTGCCACCATGTCACGCAAGTGAACTGGAATCCACCTTGCGTAATTTGTGTGCCCCAGGGCAAAGAACCAGGGTACAAGCTTGGTCAAGGCATCGATGTAGAGCATGAAGTCGCCCTCGCGTAGCGATCTCACGTAGATCATGATTTCCAGTTCCAGCTGCAGCATAATCGACCAGAACTTGAACTGGGGACTTGTATCAGCTCGGCTAGCACACCAGACTTCTACTGACATTGGAACCTGTCCCTCATCCAACCCGTCACAGTATTGGGTGTAACCCTCCTGTCGAAGGAGATACAGAACACTAGCTGTGACCTGGTGAGCCCATCGAGTGCGCGTCACATGGGCGGCTTTGATGAAGGAGTCGGCTGTTCCCGGTGTAGCAACTCCTGCCTGAACCAGGGCTTCTGTCCATCCACTGCAATCAAGAAGGTCGCCCAGAGTGTTGAATGATGCCTTTTCGATGTGGAATCCGGCAAACAGGACTGTTCCAAGCTGCTCCAGCCTGGTGTTGTACAGGGTTGCGATGTCTATCAGCTTGAACACTGGTGCCACAGTAGAGTCCATACGGGCTTCCTCAATGTAGGACACCAGTTCAGCTATGCTGGGCTATGCCGTGATTTACGACGTCTTGGTTTGGATCCTCATTCATCTTCGTGCCTCTGGCTTTGTTGTACAGGGAGGCTAGACACTTCACATGGTACTTGGCCTCTTGTGCTATAAGATCTCCTCCACTTAGTTTAGCCAACAGTGGTTTGTCCTCTAGTTTCAGGGCACATTTCCTGACACGGGCATCAAGCTCAAAGGTGGAAGCCTCGTGCAGAGTCTCCGTCTGTCCGTCACAAAAGAAACACTTGTAAACTGAAGGTTGTGGTTGGTCTCTACTCTGACGTATGTACTTTCTTGGGACATCTGCACTGTGCTCACAGGAGGTTTTCCTCTTCTCGGCTCGAAACAGTTTGTGTGTGTGTGTGTGTTTTGTCAATGCATTTTTCTAATTCACGCGTCACGGAGGCTCTGATAGCGAGCGTGTGGAGTTTGCCCTGCTGCAAATCGTTTTTGAAGGCTTGGTGCGATACGCTAAAACAAACGTACGGCGCTGGATGATTAAATGCCCATCCTTCTCGCAACACGCGTCTGTAATTAGATAGACGTAATGACAATTATACAGTTGCGCTATTAATTTCAGCCGACATTCGACGTTTCTTGCTTTTTCGCCGCAGTCACCACGACCGGTGTCGTCGCGAGCTCGTCCCAGCGGTGCCGCCAACAGCAGACGACGAAGGAGGATTCCCCACTTTGATGTATTCAGCGCGGTCGGCAGCGGCACAGAAGGACTGTCTGCCGTGCGGACCAGTGCCCGCCGACGTTACAGGTTGCCCCGTGTATCTGCCCGCCGCAATGATGCATCCTACCACATCATGGTACGGCGTGGACGCGACGGTGGCGCCGCTTATAGGCCACGCGAACACGAGAGCGTCCAACGTGGTCATGGTAACCGTTCCGGTCACCGGGTTCACGGAGCCGTCCAGCTACCCGGCTGCCGGCAGCGCCGTGTACGTGCAGACGGCCGCCGACGGTGGCACCGCCGCGGCAACGATGGCGAGCTACAATTCCAACGCCGTCCCTTTACATCCGGGTCCTCACTCTATGTATGAAGTCGCGGGCGGAATGCCGCCCGCCGGAATCGCATTCCAGCCTCACCTAGGGCCGTCTCTGCAGCCACCTCAGCTGCAAGCTTTCCCTCCTCCGTCGCACTACCTCCACAAACAACAGATGGCGCCACCTCCCATAGAGGTGTTGGATGGCGTGTTTACCGGCGACAACCCGCGCGCGCCGTTCCCCGACATCCTTCATGCGGCAAACTTTTCCGTAGTCGCTGCCGCCGGTAGCACACAGTTCCCACTAGCGGAGGAATTCGTTACGGGTTTTGAGAGCTTGCCTCCACCGCACAGTTTGGCTATTGTGCCGACGAAAAAGAACCAGTGCTTGACACCTGAGTAAGTTTTTGTTTGTCTATAGGTTTGTTGTTATATGTATGAGTGCGCACGCGCGTGCGTGTGCGTGTGCGTTCCCCCCCCCCAGGTCCCCCGTAGCTACGCCCTTGACGCCCACTACTTCGTTTCGCAAGCAAACATGTATAGACCTAACATCTACGCAAAATTTCTCAAACTATTACTGAATCTGGTCTGGCTTGATGTAGCGTTAGCGTGCGATCACATGTACCAGTTGATATTCTATACTGATCGACCGCTATAGAAAATTGCATGTGTATTTAAGCGTATCAAAACAATGTCCATTTCATGCGATTAACACACATACAACTACTATATACACAAAGTGGTGCAATGCCTTTTTTCTAATTCGTCTTCCTTCGCGTGAGTGCGGACCACTTGTGTTAGTATCATAGAAATAATATACTAGTTAGACTCTATATAGAGTCTCTAGATAATCTACATAGTCTCTATATAGTCTCTATATAAGATATCTGATGCTTGAAAATTACGTTACTTACGTCACTACATCACGTGGGGCACATACGGAGAACGCCGGCGGATTTCTAAGAATCAAGTCTGTTAGTTGTAACGATAAGCATGTTTTCTTTAGTGTAATAAAGTTATGGGGGTTAGTTTGCGGGTAGGGCAAGGGTTAATATTTCAGGTTCAAATACCCTAAATATATCTCAACACCCCGCGGATAAGATTAGCATGCAACTAGGGTGCATCGGCGTACGTGACAATGCGTGATTCAGTGGCTATATGCTCGCGGGTGATGTTTTATGGTTTTATGGCGTTCATGCAGCAAACCGTATCAGATTAATGTATACGCAATCACCGCGGAACGGTTACAGTATGGTTCAATCTACAAATATGTCTTGTTGTAAACATCCCGGAGCAGCATCTGTGTAGCAAGCCTACTCTCATATCGTAAAAAAATTCGCTCTATTTGTGCAGTGGATGTAGACTAGACTGCACGCATCTGTTTGTAAATTGGCTTAAAAATACCTTTCTGGGACAAGCTCACAAGTTAAGGAGGATGGGTCAAATTAAGAAGAGGTAATTAACGCCAACATCAACAAAGAAGATCTATCTATCCATTTATATATATATATATATATATATATATATATAT